TGAACGGTACGTTCGAGTACCTTCATGCCAAGGTAAAGCCATGGCTGAGCACGCTGTACTTTCTCAGGAGCCACAATCAAACCATACTGTTTCAGAGAAGCATGGGTGTTGGACTCCATGGCAGACAGCATCTCACTGGAAGGAGCCGCTAGGAGGATATCATCCATATAATGGTAACAATACCCTTCCGGATAGGTCTCTCTAACAGGGCTCAAGGCCTGGGCAACAAACCATTGACAAATTGTGGGTGAATTTTTCATGCCCTGTGGCAAAAACTTCCAGTGATACCGTTTAGAAGGCTCAGCACGGTTTATCGAAGGAACAGTAAATGCAAACTTTTCCTTATCGTCTGCATGTAGGGGAATGGTAAAGAAGCAGTCTTTCAAGTCAATGATAACAATAGGCCAATTCATGGGAATCATTGTTGCCGAGGGTAACCCTGGCTGCAATGCTCCCATGGTAGCCATCACCTCATTGACTCGACGTAAATCCTGCAGGAGCCTCCATTTCCCTGATTTCTTCTTTATGACAAACACAGGAGTGTTCCATGGACTGTGTGATGGTTCGATATGACCTGCTTCCAACTGTTCTTTAACTAGAGTGTGCAGGGCAATAAGTTTCTCTTTGTTAAGGGGCCACTGTTCAACCCACACAGGCTTATCTGATAACCATTTTAAAGCTACTGTGGGTTGTCTCACACCCTGCATCACAGTGACCCCTAGGGAAAATCCGTAGTGAGACGGACTCCCCACTGAGAAAGGCAGTCCCGTCCCCACAAGTTCAAAGGTGCTGCAACCACATAGGGCCGAAGGGTGGCAGCCTGGCCCTCTGGGTTGGTGATGAGCACTGGTTTAGCCGCAAGAGACCCAGTGGAAGTACCTCCCAGACCTATAACAGCCTGAGAGGCCGGGACCAAGGGCCAAGAAGCAGGCCAGTCCTTTAGCGAAATGATGGTAATGTCCGCACCAGTGTCCAGCAAGCCAGATACCTTTGCTGTAGCGGGAGACGCGTGTGCCATACTCAGCACGCAGGTCATTTGAGGCCGACAGTCCTTCACAGTCATTGTCCAATGGACTTGAGGAACTCCAGTGGATCCAAATCCTCCTGTGCCTCGGGTGACATCTTTTGTCCTAGGAACACAGCTCATAAAGGGTATAAGTTGAGCAATGCACGTTCCCTTTTCAATACAAAGAGGGGGGGTGGGTGTTGATACCATGGCACATATCTGTCCGGTGTAATCGGCATCGATTACTCCGACATGCACCATGATCCCCTGGATGGTAGCAACTCGACCTACCAATTAGCAAGGCACTTAAGCCCCTCCCAATAGGTCCCCAAGCATCCAGAGGGACTTTATGAACCCCCATGGTGGAAATGGTTACTGTTGAAGCTGTGGATACATCCATCTCGGCTGCTCCCCTCGTCTCTCCTGACAATCGGTTGCATAGGCCTGTGGTCTCTGGAAGTGCTGGGTTAGCTGATCGATCGGAGCAGGTACTTGTGTCAGAGCGCGCTGCCTCGCGCTCGTCTTCCCGTTTCCCGACAGCACATGTCCATCAGAGTAATGAGTTGACCGACAGTTCTTAGTAAAATGCCCTGCTTTTCCACATCTAAGGCAAGTTGTTATTGCTGACTGTGTGGGTGAATTCTTTTTTGATTTCTGGGAGCCCTTTTTACCGCAAGAGACACAGCGATGGCCTGTGGTATTAACCGCAGCCATAGCCTTAGCCAATGCAGCCATCTGGTAGTCCACTGAGTCTACTTTTGAACATGCTTGAATCATATCATCAAGTGAGGAATCATCTGGTAAAGTATGAAGGATCTTCCGACAGTCTGCATTGGCATTGTCTCTTGCTAACTGTTTCACCATGGCATCACGCAGATTAGCATCATAAATCTGCTTCTCCACAGAAGCCAGCAGTCTCTCAACAAAAGGCAAATATGGCTCATTAGCACCTTGCCTAATAGAGGCATATCTGGGTTTAGGAGCTGACAGCTCAGCAGTACGAAAAATTGCCTCCATGTCTACAGCTTTAACTTGCTCTAATACTAAAGGAGGCCATTGTGCCTGATGTTGAGGGTTAGAAAACTGTCCTGTACCAGTAAGGACATCACCACCATTTCCATACCGGGGGTCATCTTGAGGCCATTGCAAATTTCTTAATCCCTGTGCTGCAGCCCTTTTAAACCAGACTGACTGGAATACTGAGAATTGCACCAGGGGAAATAGAATCTGGGCAAGCATCTGTACATCATATGGGGTCATTTCCTCCACAGCCAATAGCCTAAGCATACACATAGTAGGGGTCGAGTTTGACCCATACTGCACTGCTGTTCCTGAATCACTTTCCATGAAAACAGTCACATTTTGGGGGGGTCACATTTGGGGGGTCACATTTGGGGGTCACATTTGGGTGGGTCACCCACACCCCAATCCCAACCTAAACCCGCCTTAAACCCACCCCTAAACCCACCCTAAGCCAAACCCCAAACCCACCCTAAAACCACCCTAAACCCACCCTAAAACTACCCTAAACCCACCCTAAACCCACACCCCAATCCCACCCTAAAACCACCCCTAAAACCACCCCTAAACCCACCCTAAATCCACCCCTAAAACCACCCCTAAACCCACCCTAAAACCACCCCTAAACCTGCCCCTAAAACCACCCCTAAACCTGCCCCTAAAATCACCCCTAAACCTGCCCCTAAAACCACCCCACCCACACGCCCATCCCACCCTAAACCTGTCTCTAAAAGCTACCCTAAACCCACCCTAAACCCACCCCTAAACCCACCCTAAACCCACCCTAAAACCACCCCTAAACCCACCCTAAACCCACCCCTAAAACCACCCTAAAACCACCCCTAAACCCACCCCTGAACCCATCCCTAAACCCACCCTAAAACCACCCACACCAACACCCCAATCCCACCCTAAACCCACCACTAAAACCCACCTTAAAAGCACCCCTAAACCCACTCCTAAAACCACCCTACCCACACTCCCATCCCACCCTAAACCTGTCCCTAAATCCACCCCTAAAACCACCCCAAATCCCAAACCCCAAATCCCAAACCTCCAACCCCAAAACCACAAAATTATAAATCCCAAACCCCAAATCCCAAACCTGAAAACCCCACCCAAAACCCCAAATCCCAAACCCAAAAACCCCAAACCCCAAATCCAAACCCCAAATCCAAAACTCCAAATCCCAAAATTATAAATCCCAAAATCCCAAATCCCAAAACCCCAAATCCCAAAACCCCAAATCCCAAACCCCAAATCCCAGACCCCTAACCCCCAAACCCCAAATCCTAAACACCCAAACCCCAAACTCCAAATCCCAAAACCCCAAACCCCAAATCCCAAACCCCAAAAAATCCCAAACCCCAAAACCCCAAACCCCAAAACCCCAAATCCCAAATCCCCCAAACCCCAAATCCCAAAACCCCAAATCCCAAGCCCAAATCCCAAATCCCGAAATCCCATATCCCAACCCCCTAAATTATAAATCCCAAACCCCAAACCACAAAACCCCAAATCCCAAACCCCAAAACCCCAAACCCCAAATCCCAAACCCCAAATCCCCAAAACCCCAAATCCCCAAACCCCAAATCCCAAACAGAACTGGGGGGGGACACCCAGAATTGGGTTGGGGGCAGACAGAACTGGGGGGACACATAAATATATAAATATATATTTCTTTATTTTCTATCTGTCTCTCTAAACCCTTTCTGATGAGATCACCCCCTTGCAGGAAGGTGAGAACATCACAGACAGCTCAGCACGGGGTTCCCCGGGGATGTTTTTGGGGGGTTTAGAAAAAAACAGTCCCCAAATATTCCCCCCCAATGTGGGAGAAACATTCCCCAAATATTCCCCCAAAAAAAGAACCAGACAGACCTGAGGGTAAAAAAAAATCAGACGTGAGGGCCAAAAAAAACCTGAGTAGACCTGAAGGTCAAAAAGAACCGGGAAGACCTGAGGGGCAAAAAGAATCAGACAAATCTGAGGGGCAAAAAAGAATCAGACAGATGTGAGGGTCAAAAAGAACTGGGGAGACCTGAGGGCCAGAAAGAATCAAAGGGACCTGAGGGCCAAAATGAATCAAGAGAGACCTGAAGGTCAAAAAGAACCGGGTAGACCTGAGGGTCAAAAAGAACCAGTTTACACATGAAGACCAAAAAGAACGGGACAGACCTGAATCCATCACCACTTGGCTGTGGAAGATGGGCCAGAGAGGATGAGAATCGTGGAATTATTTAGGCTGGAAAAGACTTTAAAGATCATCCTTGCCCGAGAGTCTCGAGGTGCAGGAAGGACTCCCTGGCTTCCTAAACATCCTAAACTTCCCAGTGCAGCTGAATCCTCTCTCAGCCCCGGACTGTGTTAGCAGTTTAAATTCAAAGGAATTCCAGAGCTCTTAAACCACTTTGTCCCACAGGTTTTTAATGACGGCAAAACCAGAATATTTATATAAAACGAGCAATTTACGCGATTTACAAATGATCAGGCAAAAAAAAACCTTAATCAGAACTATCCACTGCGCAACATAAACCCTAAATAGAAACACTAAAAACCTGCTAGCGGGGTGGAGCAAAGCTGGACAAAAAACCAGGATGGTTTTAGCGGAGTTAACACCGAGACAACCGCCCGGCTCCAGCAGCTGATCTTGCGTGGGAGCCTCGTGATGAGCTGGGTTGGGTCTTCTTGGGCCCGGTCAGGGTGGGACTACCCAGCCAGGGGTCTTCCCAAGGCGGGTCACTGGGAATGTGGGTCCCCAAAAAGGCTGTTCCCAAGGTGGGTCACCAGGGAATGTGGGTCCCCAAAAAGGCTGTTCCCAAGGTGGGTCACCAGGGAATGTGGGTCCCCAAAAGGCTGTTCCCAAGGTGGGCCACTGGGAATGTGGGTCCCCAAAAGGCTGTTCCCAAGGCGGGTTTTCCGATGGGTGACGGCGCTGGAGCAGCGGCCAAAGCTCTTCCCACAGTAGGGGCACTCGCAGGAGCTTCCCTTAGCGGTGGGTCCGTTGGTGTCTGGTCAAGGTAGAGCTGTCGCTGAAGCTCTTCCCACACTCCCCACACATGTAGGGCCTCTCCCCGGTGTGGATGCGCCGGTGCCTGATGAGGTGGGAGTTCTGGTTGAAGCCCTTCCCGCAGTCGGTGCAGCGGAAGGGCCTCTCCCCTGTGTGTGTCCGCTCATGCACGAGGAGCTTGGAGCTGGTCTGAAACCTCTTCCCACATTCCAAACACTTGTAGGGTCGTTCCCCAGTGTGGATGAGCTGGTGTCGGATCAAGGTGGATCTAAGAGTGAAGCTCTTCCCACATTCCCCACACGTGTGGGGCCGTTCCCCAGTGTGGATGTTCTGGTGCTGGATCAGGTTGGAGCTGTCCCTGAAACTCTTCCCACATTCCAAGCACCTGTAGGGCCGTTCCCCAGTGTGGATGCGCTGGTGCCTGAGGAGGGTGGAGCTGTGCCTGAAGCTCTTCCCACATTCCCCACACGTGTAGGGCCGTGCCCCAGTGTGGATGTGCTGGTGGCTGAGGAGGTTCGAGCTCTCCCTGAAGCTCTTCCCACATTCCAAGCACCTGAAGGGCTTCTCCCTGCTGGGAGGCTGCTCAGGGACCACCAGCTCGGAGCTCCGGCTCAAGCTCCGGCCGCCTTCCCGGCACAGGACGGGTCTTTCCTCCTCAGAGCTCCCTGGGCTGGCTTTGCAGCCCCTCCTCCGGGGGCATCTCCGGGCCTTTTCCTCCCCGCTGCCTTCCTGCGCCGGGGAGCCCTTCAAAACGGCCTCTCCCACCAGGCTCTGCCGGGGGGATTTGTCCTCCGTGCTCTCCGTCCTCAGCTCGGAGCCTGGGGCAGGAAGAAAGAAGGACAGGCAGGGGATTTGCCTCCGGCCCAGAGGGAAGGCCAAGGACATCTCCCCAATTCTGGCCCCCACAGGCACCACAAGACAGGGCCAAAAGGGCACTGTCTTCCTCCTCACCTGCCTGGGGGGCCCGCAGCAGCGTCCTGTTCCTCACAGCATTCTCCTCCATCCACCCAAGTTTTGGGAAAGACAAATCCTGCTGAGGGGGAAACAAGGGCTGAGTGCCTTGCCTTGGGGGTTCCTCCTGTCCAAGTCCATCTCTAGAACTCACCAGGCATCTTGGGACCATAAAAACCTCCAAAACACCAAGATTCAGCCCAAAAATCCCCAGCCAGGAGCTCCTCCTCTCTGGTCTCTCCACTTTGGGATTCTGGAGGTCCCCCCTGTTCGGGCTGCTGGGAATCCTGTGTGTATTCGGGGTCTCCCATCTACGGGGTCTCTGCCCTCTCCAGGCTGCTGGAGCTCCCAGGAATCCAAGGCTACCCCATCTCTCAACTTCAGGGTTCTGGGGGACCTCCAAAACATCACGATTCAGCTTAGAAAAACTGAAACCACCAATATGCAGGCAAAAAAACTCCTCAGAAGTAGCAAGAAGACCCCCGCCCCAAACTGCAAAAAGTTGAGATTCAGCTGAAATATACTCCAGATTATGAAGATTAGCCCAAAAAATCTCTCCCACAAGTTCCCCCTCTCTGGGTTTCAGAGGGTCTCTCCTGTCTGGGATGTTGGGGGTCCCAAGGGTCCTTTCTCCACTGACTCTCACCTTCGGGGTTCCGCCTTCCCACACATTCCCCCTCTCCAGGTTCTCCACCTTGTTGTCCCAAGGATGCCAGGGGTCCCCACTCTCCAGGCTTCCCCTTCTCCGCTCCCCCCGTTTCAGGCTCCCGGGGTCCCGGGCTCCTCCCTCTCCGTGCTCCCCCCTCCAGCCTGCCGGGGGTCCCCCAGCTCCGGCATCGCCCGCTCCGCCCTCCACCCTCGGCAGCTCCCAAACACAGAGATGGCACTTGTTCCTCTGCAGGGACTCCAGGGCAGCAGGGTGACTCCTGCACCATGGATGGAATGGCACAGGATCCCCTGGGTCCCCAGGCTGGATCAGCACTCGGGGATACAAACTGACCTCGGGCTCAGGATGCAGCTGCGAGCACAGATTGCCCTGCAAAGTCTGCAGGGAGTCAGTTGAGCTCTGGAGAGCAGATTGTGCCCCAGGGATGGGACCTCAGGTCCCCAGGATGAAGCATCAACCAGCAATAGACACAAAAGGTCCCACCGAGGATTTCTGGGGGAGTGTCCTGGAGGGAGGGGACAGTGCTGAGGTCTCCCTGAGCCTCCTCTTCTCCAGGCTCAACAACCCCAGCTCCCTCAGCCTCTCCTCACAGCACTTGTGCTCCAGTCCCTTCCCCTGCTCCAGCCCCTCCATGTCCTTCCTGACCTGAGGGGCCCAGAGCTGGACACAGCACTCCAGGGTGGCCTTCCCAGCGCTCAGTGCAGGCCAAGAATCCCTGCCCTGCTTCTGCTGCCACACTCTTCCTGAGCCAGGCCAGGATCCCTTGGCCCTCTTGGCCCCCTGGGCACACTCTGGCTCCTGTTCAGCTCCTGTTCCTCCACACTCCCAGCTCCCTTCCTGCCTGGCTGCTCTCCATCCCGTCTGTCCCCAGCCTGGGGGCTGCCGGGGCTTGTTGTGGCCAAAGGGCAGGACCCGGCCCTTGGCCTGGTTGAACCTCATCCCCTTGGAATCAGACCATGGATCCAGCTTGTCCAGCTCCCTCTGCAGAGCCCTCCTGCCTTCCAGCACACCAATATACATCCCAGCTTGGTGTCAGCTGCCAATTTGCTCATGAAATGCTGGTTCTGCAGGAGCTGGAGATGCTCAAGGGGCAGCAGGACCAAGTCAGGGGCCTGGGGGGGTCTGGGAGGCTTTGGGGTCCAGGAGGGTCCTGGGGGAGCTGGGGAGGGGCTTTGGGGATTGGGGGTACAAACCAGGACAGACCAGGACAGACCAGGACAGACCAGGACAGACCAGGACCTCCTTGCTGCTCCCCAAATCTCTCCTGGAGCTGGGCCACGTTGTTGTGAGACACCTGATCCCCCCCAGTGCCCTCCCAGTACAGCCCAGTGCCCTCAGCACAGCCCACTGTGTTCCTGTCCCAGGATGCCAAATGATTCCTCTTTGGGGGGAGGTTGGATGGGGATTTGGGGGGGGTTGGGGAGTTAAAAGGGGTCTCAGGGGCACTGGGAGGTCAAACGGATTGGGGGGGGCGGGGATTAAAGAGAAGAGGGGGGTAAGGTGACATTTGGTGGAGTTATTGGGGCCGGGGGAGGGACAGGAGGGGCAGCACCACAACCACGTGAGTCCTGAGAGCCCCCCCTGCTGTCCCCAAGACCCTCCTGCTGTCCTCAATTTCCCACTTGGCACCTTGAGATCCTCCAGGTATCTCCAATGTCCCCTGGGCCTCTCCATGGCCCCAATTCCCCCCTTGAAACCCCCTATTCCACTGTCCCCAAACCCCTCCCCACTGTCCCTAAACCCCATCCCTGATGTCCCCAACCCTCCATCTTCCCCCAGAAGGCCCCCCTGGACCCTGTGGACCCCAAAATGGCCCTGTCCCCCCACACTCACAGAAAGGCCAAGGGCATCTGGGGACACTTGAGGGGTTTTGGGGGCACTGGGTGATTACTGGGGGATACTGGGACACACGTGGGGAAACCAGGGAGGTACTGGGAGGGACTGGGGACTTACTGAAGTACGCTGGAAGGGACTGGGTGATTAGTGGGTGATTACCAGGACACACGGGGGGACAGTGGGAGGTTACTGGGCCATACTGGGGGTTACTGGGTGCTCACTGCAGGATCATTGGGTCATACTGAGTGGGGCAGTGGGAGGTCACTGGGAAACACTGGGTGGCCACTGGGGGGTGTTACTGGGCCATACTGAGGGTCAGTGGGAGGTCGCTGGGCTATACTGGGGGCACTGGGATCCCCTTACCTGCATGTGGTTCATCTCCTCGCCAAGACTTTGGGTGGCACTACCAGGACCCTCCCTGAGGGCTCGGGAGACCCCTGAACCCCACTGATAGGCTTTAGGGGACTCCCGGACCTCCGTCCCTGTGGGGTCTTTGTGCGATGAGTTTTGGGGGTCTCTGGGGTTCAGGGGGGGGCATCAGAACCCGTTTTCCTGCGGTCGGTCCGCCCAGCCGGCAGGGGGCGCTGTGGCACGAGCGGCAATGGCGGCGCCGCGCGAGGCCTTGTGGGAGTTGAAGTTCCTTTAATGAGAACTCCGCTGGCGCCTGCGCAGTGCAGCCATGGCGTTTAAACAGCTCCCCCGGGAGAGTTCCATGGCCCCAGCCCTTTCAGGGACCTCCTAAACCCCTTCAGGCACCTTCACCCTCCCCTCTGAGCGCCCTCAGGACACCAAATCCCCTCCGCGACCCCCGGGAGCCCCTCACGGACCTCAAAACCTCCTCGGGAACCCCGAGCCCCTCCTCTCCACTCTGCCGAGCCCTCCAGCCTTCCCGCCCACAGCCGCGCTCCCTGCAGCCCCCGAGCGCATCCCCAGCCCCGCCGCAGCCCCCGCCGGGGCTCACAAAGTCGGAGCAGATCCCGCTGTCGCCGCCATCGCTTTCCCGGCAGCCACCGCGGGGCTGTGCGCGCGCACCGCCGGCAGAGACCCCGCCCCGCCCCTTTTCCGCGCGGGGCACGCCGGGAGTTGTAGTTGCAGCGGCTCAAAGCTCCAAACTCCCCAGACTCAATTCCCCACGGGCGTTCCTGGGGCAGAGCGGGGCAGAACCGGGGCGGGGACGGGACGGGCATTGGGTGGAAATCATTATAAAAACTGTAACCCCTGCGTTGGAAGGGATGGGTGTGGGTTTGTATTCCTGGACCCTCATGGAAACCTCTGCTGCTTCTCTGACCTCCTGCCTAGTTGGGCCTGGAGTCTTTTCCTCTGCAGCCTTTTAGAGAACAACGTTTATGGGGTTTTTGAGGACATGGCCTTTATGAGGAGAGCCTCTTATGAGGGGTTTGGGCTTTCTGAGGACAGCACCTTTATGACCTGCATGGGCTTTATGCAGAGAGATCTTTTATGATGAGAGCTCTATCATGAGGTGTGTGGGCCTTATGAGGACAGTGCTTTTATGACATTTATGGTGTTTATGAGGGCAGAGCCTTTATGAGGTTTGCCCTTCTGAGGTGCACAGGCTTTATGAGGACAGAGCCTTTATGAGGTTTATGGCATTTATGAGAACATCTCCTTTATGATGACAGCCCCATGAGGAGGTTTATGGGCCTTATCACGACAGGGGCTTTATGAGGTCTGCAGCATTCTGAGGTGTGTGAGGGTCATGAGGACAGAACCTTAATGAGGCTGCCCCATTATGGGGTGGATGGGTTCTATGAGCACAGAGACCTTCTGAGACTGCCCCATTGTGAGGTGGATGGGGTTTATGAGGAGAGACACTCTAGGATGGCCCCTTTATGAGGTTTATGGGCTTTATGAGGAGAGCACCATTATGACATTAAGGGTGTTATGAAGACAGAGCTTTCATGATGAGAGCTCTTTTATGAGGTGTTTGGGCTCTGTGAGGCCTGCACCATTGTGAGGTTTATTTGCTTTATGAGGGCAGTGTCTTTATGAGGCCTGCACTGTTATGAGGTGGATGGGGTTAATGAGGGCAGAGCTTTTA